TCCCAGAGCGCCGATGTGGAGGGGCTGGTGACGAGCATCACGCAAAGCTACCCAAGCTACACTGTTCGTGGTTTGATGCACCTCGCGGCTGTGCTCGACGATGCAACCTTGCCCAAGCTCACAGAAAAACACCTGGAGTCTGCCTATGGTGCGAAGGTCTGGGGCTCACGGCATTTGCACATGTCTCTCAAATCCAGAGTTGCCTTGGACTTCATGGTGCTTTTCTCATCAACGTCCGCCCTCTTGGGGTCGCCTGGCCAGGCCTTGCGTCTTGGAAGATCAGAAGCTGTGCACTGGCTTCACGTGTCGTCTGTCCACATTTTTGCTGCCTGGCCAGGGCAATTATTCTGCAGCCAACGCTGCCTTGGATGCTTATGCGCGGTACTGGAAGGACCGCGTCTTGAGACCTAAACAGCATAAACATAGACTTCACGGGTGGCTGCCCTTTGCTTGCTCTGCTTGTCCCACCTGCCAGCTACTCGCCCCTCTGTGTTCCTTACCTGTACCTGCTTTTTACCTGCTAACTGTTTTCTGTCCATTCACGCAGTTTGCGGTTTCTGTTGGCAGATGCCGATGCAGGCCATGGGTGAGCATGTGGTCTCCTTGCAGTGGGGCCCGTGGCGAGAGCTTGGCATGGCAGCTCAGAGCGGAGCTGTGCAGCGCTTGAAGGCGCAAGGTCTCGGCAGCATTTCAAACACAGCCCCTTGGCCATCGCAAGCTATTGCAAGCTGTTCAATAAGTCTAGCTAGATGTTCGTACAGTTTCATCAAGTCACAGAGTGCAATCGTTAAGACCTCGCTTCGTGCGTGAAGCAGCGTGGAACATGTCGAATCAAAGTCTGTCTTGTGTGCTCCGGCTAACGCTTGGCCGGCATCGAGGCAACTGTCGTAGTCGTCCACCCGGTTTCTGTTCCACTCCGTCATGCATGCTTGATGGATCTTGATGCTGGTGTTGCACACTTCTGTAACGTTGTTGAAGTTGTGTCGGACTCTATGAGCCTTTGCAGCAACTGCCTCATGCCACCAGCTAGATGGACAACTTAGTTTGCCAGGCTCAAGAGATGCTGTGTTCCCAACTGAGGTTGGCATGGCGATCCTTTCAGGATCCCTGCATGCTTCTGGCAGCATCATCGCAGCTTGTCCGGTTTACTGGACGCAATACCTGAAGCAGCCACCCGGCAGAGACTCATTCGTAAACTTCGGGAACACCCTTCAGCGAAGATGCCAAGTTTATTAGCCTTTCGAAGGGTTTGCGTATGTTCTCGCAGGTTGTCCAGCGTATTGTTGACCACCTGCTAGCTTTGTCGCATGACACAGGTTTGGGAAACGCGTGCCACCGTTTTATCTTCGTGCCTGGGCCTGCAAACCAGATTCGATGCCACATGTTGAATTGTAGCAATCGAGTGCGGTGCTGACAGCAGGCTTCCAAGAAGCCAGTCATGGAAGTGCTGGTTTGAGCGAGCGGGGGCTCCGGGCGACCACAAACACCATAAACGTGGTCAAAGGTTTCGCACCTTCGCGTGACCTGGTTCGCACTGGCATCGAGAATGTGCTCAAGGAATTGTTGGGAGAAGACCTCGATGACTTCTCCGCTCCACTAATGGACATGGGCCTGGATTCTCTTGCTGCAGTTGAATTCCGCAACCGAATCCAATGTTGCTTCGAGGGAGTGCGACTGAGTTCTACGGTGATGTTTGATTATCCCACCGTTGTCGACCTGACTGACTTCATTCTTTCTCAGTTCGCACCAGATGATGCCGCTAATGTGGATGTAAAAGGGCGCGGGGACGCGATTCTGCGGGAGCCCTTGGCCCTCATGGGAATCGCAGGGAGATGTCCAGGCATGGCAGCTGGCAATGACATCTCCGATTTCTGGGCTTTCCTCTGCAGTGGGCAGGATCCGATTTCACGGATTCCCATCGAGCGCTTCGATGTAGACGAGTTCTACGATGAGGACCGGTCTGCACCAGGGCATGTATACGTTCGCCAAGGAGGGTGCATCAATGATGTGGACTTGTTTGATGCAGCCTTTTTCGGTATTGCAAAGCCGGAAGCGCGATCGATGGACACACACCATCGATTGCAAATGGAGATCGTTTTCGAGAGCTTCTACAATTCTGGCTTCACCAAGGAGACGCTCGTGAATTTGGAATGTGGAGTGTTCATAGGGTGCTGCAGCCTATTCGCCCGTGTCGTTCATGACGGGGAGGTCGATGACATTGGGCCCTTTACCAACATTGGTTCTAGCTTGTCGGGGATGGCTGGCCGTGTTTCACACGCGCTTGCCCTTCAAGGCCCATGTCTTTCAGTCGACACTGCTTGCTCCTCAACTCTTGTGGCCGCGGACTGCGCCATGCAGGCCTTTCATCTTGGTCGCCAGGTGTTGGCCTGCGTGGCGGGAACCAACTTGCAGCTACGGCAGGGCATCTCGTCCTGGATTGGTTTCTGCAAGATGGGCGCACTCTCTGGCGACGGTCGGTGCAAGACATTCGATGAGTCCGCCGATGGTTTCGGTCGCTCGGAGGGCTCCGGATCCTTCATTTTGAGCCCCAAGTCCGAGGGTACCCTCGCACACATGATGGGAAGCTGTGTGAACCAGGACGGTCGCAGTGCAACCATCACGGCCCCCAGTGGACCCGCTCAGCAGCGTGCCCTCAAAAATTCCCTACGCGACTCAGAGCTCACGCCTTTGCAGGTGTCGCTGATAGAGTGCCATGGCACAGGAACTGCCTTGGGGGATCCTATCGAGATCGGTGCTTTGGAGAATGTCTACGGCAGGGACCGGCTTGAGAGCGCCCAGCTCATTCTTGCTGCGGTCAAGTCCGTGACTGCGCATCCGGAGGGTGCCGCAGGCATTGTGGGGCTCGCGAAGCTGGTGAAGATGATGCAGCACGGGCAGGTACCAGCTAATCTTCACTTACATCAGCTGAATCCTAACATAGACCTTTCCTCGTTTGAGTGCAAGATGCCAGATTGCCTTCTGGACTGGAGCCCGGCTCCGCGCCTGTCTGGAATCAGTTCCTTCGCGTTCTCCGGCACCAACTGCCACATGAACATGCAGGAGGCAACTCCAGGTGAGATGAGCGCAATGCTGTCCGCCGCAGAAGCTCGCGCTCCGTTGATCTGGTCTCGGAGCATGATGTCGCGCCAGGACAGCATTTCTGGCTGCTTTCACAAGCTTTCAACCGCATGCTTCATGACGGGTGGCAGATGCTGCCAGATACCATCTGATGCTAGGACCCTGTGGCCTTTAATCGCAGCAGCTTCAGCTGGGCCGGCACGAAGCACCCGCTGGTGAATTCTCCTCGGCAAGGCGGGGGCACACATCTTTCTCCAGTGTGTGGGGGAGTTCTGCCACGTCCACTTTCATCACTAGCACTCCGCTCCGAAGTGTGTTGTACTCCGAGATATTCTGAGGCTCCGAGCCTGGCATGGTGGTCTTTGCAGCACCCATACAGGGCAAAGTTCTCAAGCTGCTGTCGCATCATCGTGTGCACGGCGAGATCGTTGTGGCAGGCCTGCTGGTGTAGCAGCTCCCTCAACAACCTCCAAGTACTTGTAGCTTAACGGCGAGTGCCCAACAGGAACCACGGATAGTGGATGATGCATGTGCGACTTTGACGGTAGGCGCAACGTACGTGGAGATGGTGATCGCGGCATATGCGTCCGGCCAGCCTGGCCGGGACAAGAAAGGCTTCGTGTTGGAAGATGTTCTCTTCCTAAAGCCGATGATCCTAAGACTTGGCGATGATGACAAGGCAGGGGAAGATCTGTCATCGATGGTTGCACAGGTCTTGCCTGCCTCAGTCCTGCCTCCTTGCGAAGCTCTGACAGGATCCTGAGACCAGCGGCATGGATCTCTATTTGCAGATGCAGGACCCTGGAGCAGCGGTGGGGTCGCTCCATGTCGCTCCTTGCGCCAGATGCACTTTTTCCGTTTTTCAGGAAAGCGCTGGCTGGTGGTCCATCAGCAGCGTAGAAACTGGGTCTTCCATGATCGTCAGCGTGCATGCCGAAGGCTCTGTGAGCCTGAGCCACCAGGCGCCGCGTGTTGCCTGAAAGATATAAAGTAGCACTTCAGAAGGGATGCAACAAGACTTTCTTTCTGCAAGATGTAGTATGATGTGGTCAGCTAGAGTCTGCCTGGCAGGCCTCCAGCGTCATCAAGCAGCCGCTCGAAGAGATCCGCTCGCGTTCCGAACAAGTTGATGCTTCCGGACTCTACGTTCACTGGGCTGCACTCAGCCTCTTGCACCCTGACATGGCACAATGGCTTCTAAGGCTTCTAGCGATTCTAGTGATGGACTTGCGTGGAAGGCGTTTGCTGCCAATCTCGGGCTGGAATACCAAGAGCGCTTCCAAACGGTGCACACCATCGTTCGATCGCAGGAATCACGGCAGAAGTTGGTAAGTGCTCGAAACGTGGCTAGGTGGTTTTGGGCAGCATGCTGGAGCCATGGTGGCAGGATGCAAAAAGGCCGATAACACAAGCCATCATGTCTCATCCCAGTCCCACAGGATGAAGTACTTGCCTGGGTGGCAGCCTCTGAAGACGGCACGAGCGCAGGCTTCGCCTTCGGCTCCTTAGCCGCCAGCAGCCGCCAGCACGATGCATAACTCGCTTCGGGGTTGTACTGCTATGCCAAGGCCCTTCTGTCATTGACGGCGCTTTCCAAGCTGCCAGCGCCTTCCCTGGCATGGAGGCCGGCCTTCAAACTCGCTCAGCATGTGGAATCCTACTATCCGACCCGCCACAGCGGCGATTTCCTCAGAGCTTGGATACCTCTAGCCAATGCCGTCGGTTAGCCCTTCTGTGGGTGAGCACAGACTACGTCACTACGTCTTCCAGATCGGAGACTCGATGTGATCCCAAACTCCACCTACATACTTTGCTCAGTGACAGGAGCAAGAGTTCCCAATGGTGCCCTTTGCCGCCAATCGCGTGCAGATCTTTGGCCAAGGCTTTTCTCACCAGGCCGAAACCCGCCGGGTTGAGGTGATGTAGGTTTTTTCCCGTGTTCTGAGCGGGCGACCGCGCCTGGAAAGAAGCTTGAAGCATGATGGCACGCCTACAGAGACATGGAACACTGCCGGGAGGTGTGGGTGCACAACATTCTGCTGAAGCGCACCGAAGCGGAATTGGCGCCCAGCTCAGGAAAGAGAGTCAGTCAGAACTGTGTGACGGGCTACCGTACAGTACGTATCTCAGGAGCTTCAGTTGCACATGGCGCAGGATGACTCCACCGTCTTGCTTGCTATGGACTCATGGCCCCGATAGAGTCAGTGCAGTATGGGCCACGGACATGTGTGACACTGTGTCATGCTGTTTTTCTGGAGGATCGCATGCGGTTTCGCCAAGTGCGGCCTGAGCAACTGGCACCTGGCTCTGCATCAGGGGAGGTCTCTGACGTCATGCCCCTTCCAGTCCACAAATCACAAGCTCTCAAGTGCACGACTTGCGAAAAGTAGGCTGCTCCGACGGGCAACCCCCAATGCAACATGAAACAGCTCCACGGATGCGAGTCTGGCGTGTCAAGGCAAAGATGCTCGAGCAAGGTGTGGAGGACGTCGAGGAGGACATCTTGACAGTCGAGTGGGCGGTCGCAGAAGGATCCCCGGGAAAGGCAATCGGCGCCACTGGCAACGGGGTCGTGTTTGTTGGTGCGGTACTTAGCCTACGTCGTACGTTTCTGCAGGATGAGTGTTAGCTGCACGATTCGAAAGAAGCTGACGGGATCGCATCGATCATTTCTTCTAAGCATTCGACAGCTTTTGCCAGGTGGTGTCTAGGCTTAGATTCGGCTGAGGTGCTGCAGAGAAGCTGAGCAGCTCCTTGAAACACATGCTGCCTGAGGCCAGGACAGTATGCTGTTTTCCCAAGTCTCGCACGCGTTGTGGGTCACAATAAGCTATTCAGCTAGTCAGCTAGTCACGAGAGCTCTCCCCAGAGAGCCTTAATCTCGTTTCAATATTTGTTCTGCCAGAAGGCGCAGAGCGTGGTGGAGGGGGGTGGCCCCCAGAAGTGGTGTGATTCGGGTCTGGTTTGGGCAGCTCGTTTTTCGGCTCCAACGGACTGGTGCTCAACCTTTAGAAAACAGATGAAAACAGGGCTGTTTGCATACCTCCACAAGCTGCGCATTTGTAAAGCAACCCCATGTTTTCCTCGGCGCCTCCCGCACCTCCAACAAGGCGGTCACGTGCAAGCTAGAGCTTTCGTCGCACCCCCTTCCCCCGCGCCGCGTCTCAAGTCTTTGCGATGTTTCTGTTGCTTTGGGAAGATTGGTGACGCGGGCAATGCTCCTAGACTGTCCCAGATGCACTCTTGAGAATGCACTTTTGAAGGCTGTTAGGAACGCTCCCACGATAGGAACGTTCTGAAGAAGACCGCTCCTAGGACGTGCCAACAAGACCGAAACGCAGCCAAATCACGACACCGAAAGCAACGAATTGTAGCAACGTTTCGCACCTACAGTCATGGAAGGAATCGCAGCATGGCACAAGAATGATCCAATGCCCGCTTACTTAGCATTTACTCCTAACCTGGTCCCCCTGAACAGCATCGCTAGTCTGCATTCAAGGATTCCAGCAGCATGAGGAACTACTGTAACTATTGGCAGAGCTATTGGCAGTAGGCTTCTAGCCGTTTCAGCAATTCAGCCTAATGCGGAGGCTAGCTTCTTCGACGCAGCTGCGGACTCGACCTTCGAAGGGACCGAGGTTGCGGTGCTACTCGCGGCATCGCAGGACATCCATCTTCCACCCAGCTGTTGTTTCAGCATGATGTGTGCACCTCTGTATCGCGACAGGACGCGGATGAAATGCAGGTGTTGTTCGATGCCGTGCTTTTGGTGCAGGCCCGCGTCTGCGCCTCATTGAAGTCAAGCTGCTTTCTTCGATGAGCCTTGGAGGCAGCCATGGCACTGGCCGCGAAAGGCCATCAAGTGCCCAAGATCGCCTTCTTCACCTTCGGAACGCAGGCGTGCCCAACAGTCTGCTAAAGCTGTTTCCAATTGCGTTCCTGAGCCCTCTCTGCAGGACGCACCTAACCGTGGAGCGGGAAGCTACTTGCATGCCGGCCTGTGGGGTCTGGCGCGCACCGCACGACTGGAAGACGCATCGCTCAGCCTCTACTGCTTTGACCTGGACGTGCTCGATCCACACGATGCAGATGCTACGGCGCAGGTCATCCTGGAACAGCTTGGCAGCCTTGGTGGAGTCGAGACGGAACTGGCTCTCAGTGGGGACCTCTACGTGCCCCGGCTCTGCCGCTGCCTAGTGCAGCCGCAGAAGCCCATGCGTTTGGAGATGAAGTCGCGAGGAAGCCTCTCCAATCTTCGTGAGGTCCCGCTTCAGCGCACGTCGCCGGACGGAGACCAAGTGGAGCTGCGCGTTCGTGCGGTTGGCCTCAACTTTCGGGACGTGCTGGATCTGTATCCCGGCGACCCTGGCAACCCAGGTGGTGATTGTGCCGGCACTGTTTGTACTGTTGGAGAGCGAGAGACCCGGCTTCGTCCCGGGCAAGATGTCTTCGGCATTGCCCCAGGCTGCTTACAAGCTTTCGCTTGCACACAGGGCCTACTGATGGTTCCGAAGCCCAAGCGATGGTCCTTCGAGCAGATGGTGGCGTGGCCAGTTACCTTCGCAACCGCTGAGGAAGCCTTTGTGGAGCTGGCGCCCTTGAAGCTTGGTGAGCGGGTGCTGATCCACGCCGCTACTGGAGGAGTGGGGCTTGTGGCTGTGCAGCTCGCACAGCGCATGGGCGCGACGATCTTCGCCACAGCTGGGAGCCCTGAGAAGGTGCAGTACCTGCGGGATCGTGGCGTGAAGTACATCACAAGCAGCCGCGACGTCCAGCAATTCGAGGAGGACATG